GTATTATCGACATAGGCTGTATGTGGCTAGTTAGTTGGGCATCGTGTACCCCTAGCAGCATGTTAGTGGTGTGCGTCGGTTAAGATCGTTCAGCTGTCCGCTATGATTAACGTATGTTCCATGTTCCTAATCGATAAACCTCTAGGTCCTTCTAGCATAATTCGCAACCTTTAATGGAAAACTCTGGTTTTTGCCAGCAAAGGCGCACGACGTTTAGCAAATAATTGGCGTGCACTACGGAATTTTTACTGGCAACAAAGAATCATCGACCAAAATTTGTTTGCACGAATGCGCCTGCGCATATGCTGCATCTCCAAAGACCATTTAGATTCTAGAATGTTGAGGAAATTCGTCTCGGTGGAAAAATATTTTAAAGTTACATTCATTGTATGTGAGTCAACGTTTTCCACAATCCGCGATTTTTTATACCGCAGGCTATTGACACACCCAAATTGAGTTCGCCGAAACTATGGGCTTTTCGAAGTTGCTATTTTAATGGGGAGATAGTGTAATAAATTTGCACCTTCCTGTGGCATGTTGCACGTAGCATTTTGTTTAAGTGAGCGAAATGTCAAGGTCAGTGAACATCGCCGGTTTGCACTTTTTGCCGGTTTACGCGACATCAAACACGAAATCGCATTTTAGTATATTTTCGCGTTCTTCGGTGTTCCTGAAGAATAAAATAGCATCTTAACAGTATTTAATGCAAATGCCACCCCATAGGACCAGTCGCAGGCATTTGTTTGGTTTAGATACATCAAATTTAACAAATGGGATATTTTTGTTCGGCGAATCTGCTCACGACACATTTTCCTCATGAATCTCATGTTCCATTAAGTGCAATAAAGTTAGTTAACAGCACAAACTTGCAGTGGCAGTGCGAGGGACATCTTTGGATGATCCCCTTTCCCAGATATGCATAACTAGCTTGTAGATAATACGGTGTTAACAGAATACTGTGGGCGTCTTTCTTATTATAACTATGACGTTCTATACGTAGTGACCACCAACCATAAAGCGGTCACCACGGTGACGGTAGCCGTTGTCACTCACCTCGACTGCCTATTGTAGCTGCTGGATCCGTGTCTATGTGCGACGCTAATTAAGGTTCCCCACATATGCGCGGCAGCCCAATCCAATGAGCAACGTCGGCCCCTCGTACTCGTATCTCTATTAGTTGTAACTGATAGGCCCGCGTTTATTTGCAACGTTGATAATGAGACTGCACCTTTGCACAGCAACATAATCCGATGGTCAATTACGGTCTTTTATACCATTAACTATACGCGATGCCGCTTGTCTTCGCCAGCCACAGAAAACATCAGTGGAATATATATAACGACCGGTAAAGATAAGTCCTGAGCTATGCGTGATAGCCACATCTGACAGCCTGTCATACTCACAACTGTACTCGAAGTCATCTAACTTGGCTATTGGTCGTACCTGTTGAGTCAGTGTCCTTGTGCATACATACCTAATCTAATGGCGAACGATGGACCTAATACTCAAAACTGTACGCAATACCGCCTACCTTGACTACTTATTGAAACTGCTAGCTCAGTGCCTAAATGTGACGCTGTTTATTAGGCCTCAGCTATGAGAAGTGTCCTTATTCAACTGCCAACGATGGCCCGTCATACCCATAAATGTGCGCGCTCTTGCTTATGTCTGCCACTTATATCGTCATGGAGAGCATGAAATCGGCGTTAAACACCGATCTTCACTGCCGTACCTGCCTGCTACATAAATCAAACACCAAGCCAGTATCTATGCGGGCTGATAGAAACCAGTTTCCAACTATGCGCGACATTTTAACGACCAACGTCTGCCCGTCACACTCGCAACTACAGTTGATACCGCCTACCTTGGCTACTTATCGTAATTGCAAAACCTGTGACTATGTGCAACGCTGAGTATAAAGCTGACGGTCTTTCATACCCTTAACTATACGCGATGCCGCTAATCTTTGCTACCTACAGTAAACATCAATCCAATATATATGCTGACCAGTAAAAACAAGGACTAAACTATTGGTGATAGCCTAATCTGACAGCCTGCTATACTCACAACTATACTCGAAGTCACCTAAGCTATTTACCGTCATACTCATACTTACTCGATGCCGTTTATGTTTGCTACAATCAGCAAACATCACAACTGTGGTCGACGTAACCTACGGTGGCTAACTATAGTAACAGCCAGGCCTGTACACATGCTCATAGATAACCATAATGCCCGGCAACACATATTAGACTAACCCAACAATCAACGGTTGCCATCACCTGCCAAACTGCAATCACCACCCAATTTGATAGCGCACTCCCAACTCCTACACTTGATTGTACCCTCACGACCACTCCCTCCATTACCCGAAACAATGAGCTGTCGCTCACCTCGACTGCTATTCGCGGCGCACATTATGAGGCCTCACCTATGCACGCCAACGTAATACAATGGGCAACGACGGCGCCCCATACTCACAACTCCACGCGTTGATAGTGCACCCGCCATGAATTTACGAAAACACCATTAGCAAATTGCATTTTATTCATTGGTATCACTGATAAAAGCTTAATTGGTAGTCGCCCCATTTTTCATTTTCTTAAGATCCACTTCACGGGACAAGGATTCTGAAACGAAAAGTGGGCAAGCAATTATTCTTCGGGAACAGCATTTAGGCGTCTGGATGTAATGCAATTTCATTTGTTTGCGTACCTATTGGTTCATACTTCCCCTTACCGGGATGATGGATAAATGTATAGTCGTTGCGGATTGCCATGGGTTCATTGATTCTGCATTCGAGGCCTTCGAGTTACAATCACACAAATTCCTCTTCATCACGGCATGCTCCAGGCTATCTGAGTGATGCACGCGCCTCTTCAGACACCCGTTGGCGTTCTCCAGGCGTTTGTTGGTCACATTCCCAAAATGTAGCAACCCACGTTGTGCATGAATGGCCCACTTTCGAGTGATGAGGAGCCAGTGGGCAGTCAAATAATAGACAAAACTGGGATCTGTTCTCTTCAGGATTTTCAAATCGCGGCGAAATCTACGCCATTAATGTTTGGTGCAGTTACTTACTCAGCTGCATTATCAGACCGAGCCATGCGGTGGAATATGTGCTGACTGCGGTTGGCAATTGTCTGCAAAATTTACACCAAAGCAATGAAACGTACGTGCTTCCGGATGGTTTGCCGTGCGTGAAAATAGCACAGCATTATATCGCAGCCGAATACAGCTTTGGCCGCCCGCATCTGCGAAGTCATCTTGTCCATGACGAACCTTTTGACTGCATATTGTCCACCCACAATAGCCTTGAACAAGCCGAACAGCTTGCGCAATGGCGCAAAATGTTCACTTTCGACAAAGGCATACATTACGGGTCGACCGATAATCATGCCACCCGTCACAAGGAATGTATAAAGCTTGTACCTCAACAGCGAACGTCAGGGCCTCCAAATTTATTTACCCAAGACGGTTAGTACCGTGTGTAGCATCAACGTTTACAACGTCCGGGAAACGTCTAAAGAGTGCTGTCTGCTGCGTTCGAGCAAAGCACATTTGTCTATAAATGCTACCCTCCGATTCCACCAGCAGCACGCGACCGCACTCTCGGAACTTGGCTATGGTGGATGAGATATCATCTAAGAAACCGACTAAAAAGTAACCAACGACCTAATTAACAATGGGAGTCGACAATTGACGCGATAGTTACGCACATCCTTGATAGTGAGCAACTTTCCAAAGTGGTCGGCGACGTACTGCCAAATCTCCGATGACGGAGTACCATATTTCAAAAGGGTACAACACTCTACTTCATCATTTTTCAGTCGCCGGTTGATGGGGAGCCTGTCAAAAATAAACTTTCTGTGTGGATGATTGTGCTCCAGGTAGTAGGAAGTAACCCTCAAGCAGTCATGGTACCGGCGAACATGGAATCTTGCCGGACAATCAGTACGACGTGTGCTATCGCATACACACAATCAACCATGAAATTACTAAGTGCGACGAATTCCACGGCTTCGGCTTCGTCTGCAGGGATGTCTGCTGCAACGTTAGAAGGCTTCTTCATACAAAAGTGGCAAGTTGCTGCTCTTTTTGGAGTTTATGCGGACGAAAACAACGAAATGTTTCGCCTGGTACCCTTTCGAAGCGACTTGAAATGCACTGAATGAGAAAAAACTTTGACGAGGTAAATTCTCCACAAAATCATCCTCCGCATTTACGTGCTCAGCCACATCAGCCATTAAAATGTGAATATCGCGGACCTTGAATATCGTGGGAAGTGAGTAGGTTTAAACAACTTTCGACAAAACTGCGGCCGTTTGGGATGATCTCATACGCCCAAAAAATTACCATCAAATGTTAAAACTTTATGTTAAAGTTTTTCTCCTACGAACTGTAATATGCACGCTATGGATGCACCAGGGGACAGTGATTCTCCGAAGGCAGGTGTTCACGACAATTTCTGTGGATGGAAAACAGAAACAAAGCTCATGAGCCAGAGTCCAGTAAGCAAGGTTGTACATCACCAATGCTTACATATGAATCAATCAAAGTGACAAACACCGTATACTACAGAACTATGGTTTCCGAGAAATTTTGGGTGTGCGTCTAGCCGTCGGCATTTTTTAGCATCAGGTAGCGTATTCACAGTCGGTGTTTATTGACCTTGAGAATTCGCTCAGTTAAACAAATCGCCGTAGTAAATGATTTTCCATGATAAAGGAGCATATACGTTATACATAGACATTCTACACTATGAAGTGGCATGTCTGAAGATGCCGTAGATTTCGAGACATCAATCTCCTCCGCATTACGTGCTCAGCCACATCAGCCATTAAAATGTGAATATCGCGGACCTTGAATATCGTGGGAAGTGAGTAGGTTTAAACAACTTTCGACAAAACTGCGGCCGTTTGGGATGATCTCATACGCCCAAAAAATTACCATCAAATGTTAAAACTTTATGTTAAAGTTTTTCTCCTACGAACTGTAATATGCACGCTATGGATGCACCAGGGGACAGTGATTCTCCGAAGGCAGGTGTTCACGACAATTTCTGTGGATGGAAAACAGAAACAAAGCTCATGAGCCAGAGTCCAGTAAGCAAGGTTGTACATCACCAATGCTTACATATGAATCAATCAAAGTGACAAACACCGTATATTACAGAACTATGGTTTCCGAGAAATTTTGGGTGTGCGTCTAGCCGTCGGCATTTTTTAGCATCAGGTAGCGTATTCACAGTCGGTGTTTATTGACCTTGAGAATTCGCTCAGTTAAACAAATCGCCGTAGTAAATGATTTTCCATGATAAAGGAGCATATACGTTATACATAGACATTCTACACTATGAAGTGGCATGTCTGAAGATGCCGTAGATTTCGAGACATCAATCTCATTGTGCGAATAGCCAGCAGCAAAATATTATAATGTGTGTGGGAACTCTATATACCGAAAACGAAGGTGCGACGTATACTTTCCTAAGGCAACCATTTCCGAAGACCTGTCCAAGTTGATTGGATTTCGTGCTGTTCAACATTTGGACCAATGCAAGCTCAGTAGATACAGCACGTGGCTGTTTGTGTCTAACGCAGATTCCGTCCAAATGGCCTTGCGAAATGCACTTGCTTGGTTCTTGCCTCCTCGTTGTGTTGATGAATACTTAATTAAGATGGATTTCTCCGATGGTTGGTTTTTAAAAAAATCTCATTTCGCTTCTCAGGTGCTTGCTTCACCGCCGGACTCAGCAAAGCCCTTGGATACGGCGTGATCGCCGGTTCTTCACTCGGTAAACCTTCTCGCCACCGGATAACACTCTTAAAGTCAAGGTTCCACAGGTTGTTAAGATTCTAGGGAGCCGAAGTGCAGCCGGTCTGAGCATTCTGTCACTGCTGTTAGAGCTCCTGACTTATACTACAACGTCCGCGTACTCCTTGGCGAACAGCTACCCTTTCAGGTGCGTGACGCATTAGGCAGGGGTTCCGTTGGCGTTTTTCTTACCTTCCAACTTTTCCCTTCACGAATACATTCACTCAAATGATGTACTGCGGAGATCGCTAGGCGGTTCAATGATCACCGGTGTTCAACACTGATATTTCGCTACCCTACAACTGTGATTTATTTTAAAGTTTTATTGTGGGGAAAATAAAAGTGGTTTGGGAAGGGAATTGGTGCTAGTCCACTACGATCATTCATAAGTGCCTATCATTCGGGTGGGAAGTCATCCGGACCAGGAGTCCAGTGGTGCTTGAGAGGACATATGCAGTCATAAACCTCCTTGACCATAGAGGGTTCCAGGCCCCGTACGTGGTTCTGCAGCTCCAGAATTCGGAAGGCCAGAACAGCTTCTGTGAACCTCCATCACGCGTGACATCTATAGATTACGAGATTCTACAAGCTTTTTGATAATTTTTGCTCTACGTGGCCCATAAACATATTAGCCACTGTGGGCTCCTTGCATCCATCAGCCTAGTAAATACCCTACGGAGTAAAACCGGCTATCTGTTGTACAACGGTATAGAGGCTCGAATACATCGTTGAGTGGCAGTCCTGGCTCCAAGCTCTACATAATATACTCATGAATAATGCTAACTTCCTCGATCGAAACTTTGGTAAATAGTTATATAACGCTTGACGAATATTTTACCTCGTTTTTTTTGTGTCAAATGTCGATAATAATAATTTCACGGATTCAAATGTATTTTCGAGGTTTCAAAAGGTCATTTGAATATAAAGTTCCAAGCAGTTCTGATTTACGGAGACCCGACCACCAGCAAGATCATTTGCGAAGGTATACTTGGCTTATTTGTTTTTTTTTCCTGCATGCAAGGTAGGACTCAAACAATGACAACTGCACTGGAACAAAACCCACAGACCACTGGTTAAGCTCTGGTTAGTTCATTATGTGAGGCATTCTCATATATGAAGGTACTGGGCTAACGTATATCGTGTCACTTCAATAAACCAATCTAGCCACTGTCGTCTGTGGATTCTATAATTTTCAGTGCTTTACTTTCCTGTCCTACGAGACTCTTACAGAACGCACCCAGTTTGCTTTGCCTCTCTTGCCCATGTTTCGTATTGGAAGAGTGATATATTGACTTACCATAGTTCCAGACGTTAGTATTATTGGTGTATGCATTAGTCGTTGCACATACGCAAAACATTGGTTCGAACGGGGGTAATTAGATTTCGAACTCTCTTGTTGGAATAGTAAGAGTGCAGAACGTGGTACCTGAAGTGCAAAATTATAAGGTCCACTTTTCATAAGCCGACCCCGATTAGATGACATCCGAATTTTATAATTTTCTGCACCATAAAGTTTTTGCCCAATCCAGACAAATGAGTTTTGGGGAGACAGCGATAAGTCTTAAATCTTTTTAACGGTACTGCACGGCAGTAGGATCCAAGCAAATCCCTTATCAATTACGGTCAGGCCATGGAGAAAAAGTAAAAAGGGGTTATGTGACCACTAAAGTTCTACTCATCATCATTCCTGGCAGCAACTATAGCAGAGAACACTGGTGCCTCACTGGCATTCAACCATGCCAATTTATATGGACAAAGAAGAACATGTGGGACAGGAATGTGGACCTAGGACTGGTCTAAAATATCCTACGCCTCAGTACTCAGCCAGACAATCTGGATAGAAACTGACAGTATGAATGCCACTGATGTCGGTTAGCTGTCAAAATGTTGATTGCCTCCAGGCAAAGGGAGGGTCACGTGAACTTTCTCCTAGAAGGCGAGCAACACCTATTTTCATAACGTCCTTTATTTTCTCGCTATATCGCATTCTACCAGACTCGGTTTCAAAGGTGGTCAGAATGATGGGTGAACATAGAGCCTGTTAAAGCGAACTCTTGCGAACGCCGCTTCCAAAGCACAGTCAATCAAGAACTCAAAGCAGAACGGTGAGCAAAGGTTTTCTGCAAAAATATCAGGGATGCTCGGATTGATAGTTCCCTCTATCTTTGACGAGTGGCTTCGGTACATACCGAATTTATGCCCAATTACCAACTGAGAGGCCTCTACAACATGAGCGAAAGATCACTGAGTTTTGAAGAATATATGTCCTGATTCCAATAGGGTCAATTCACGTTTTGGCACAAATCTTCCCTGCTGGTTAAGGAACAGGAATCCCTTAGGCATGGATGATGAGTCTGATGGGAATGTGTGAATGGCATTGAAGGTTTTATTTCAGACTCAACTTCTTGAGCACATTTGCAATGGAAAATGGAAAGGTACTTCTACTATTGGATATTTTCAGCAGTTACTTAGGTGTGATTTAAGTTGTGACAAATTTATATCTCTCCCTTACACGCCAGCATATCATGTCCGTTTTCGGGATAAATGGAACGTAGGAACAAACGTTTGGCTCTTCACAAGTTATCAGGTTCCTAATGATAACCACATACGGGCTAACTGCTTCAATTCTAACTAAACGATGCTGTTCCCCAACTTCCTCTCCTGTTGGAACTGTATGGGATTTACACTTATTTCGGTCACCATATCCATTGCATTTTCTGAGGTTTATCGAACTAAGTACATCTTTGATTTCCGGTCGGTTTTCGTTTCGTCCCAGTTTATATCGCGGTCCAACCAGACAAGCACCGACGTGCAGCAACATCCCTAATTATCACTGATGCTAGCTGCTGTGAGTGTTTTTTTTCGTTGCACAGGAATGCTGGTGACGTAACGGAGTTGTTGTCTCTCATCTTTTCAAGAATCCCAGCTTGATCTAACAGGTTAAGTACATAACTGAAGAAATGGAGCTGCTGTTACTTGTCTCGCCTTCTACAGTTAATTATTTTGACCCAAGACTTTGTTCCCTGTTAATACCAAATTACATGTGTGAATGTACAGAAGGGTAACTGTTAAGCACCGAGCTTCTCTGCTTGGTGTATACGTCGTGCGCTCAGTAGTGCACATACCCCCAACCTGTTGACTTCAGCCTATAACCTCTCCTCCTGAATGAAAAGTACTCTGGCACTCTCGGATTCACCTATTATTTATATTGGCTACTTCCTCCTATGGGTATATATCCACTTTTATCTATTCGGATTATGGGTGAACAAAACCGCTGTAGTTCTTCACAGATGAAGGTGGTCAACGAGTATGTTTCAGCGACACTAACCACAGAACGGGCAACGCATTCAAACTTCTAGATTTTTGTGGGATTCGAAGCGTCCGGTTGGGCACGCCAACTAAATAATTTAGTTCATGTGCCATATCATTTGGATCCTTTTGAAGGCAGCTTGTATCTGTGATAAATGTATTTTCACCCAAAGTGTTCAACTAGAACCAACATATGTTTTGAATTTTCCGGCCATCTTTAGAACCACCATAATTTTGGTAATCGTGTAAATCTTCCGCAAACATACACTCGTTCCTAACTCTGTCACGCTGTCATGTCTGGATCTCTTTTGTAGTTCATATGGTGAGGCAACTTTTCTGGCGTTGCAAACTTTCATCATTACATGGTTGGCGATAACCTGGAAGTCGCAACCTCTGGGTGTGGCATTCTCTGCTGTGTACGTTGCTGGCTTGGCAGTCACCTTCTCCCCAGTGATGCCGCTGTCTGTCCTTTATACCCTGCAAACACTTAACGTCCCAATCATGTTGGTATCAAAAGTGAGTGCTCAATTAACTTTTTTCAAGGATTGGTAGATGCCATGGTTCGGTTCTCTTGAGTGATGCTTTGGTGGTCATGGCAGTTGAGGGGAATCGAGGGCCAATATTTTCTGAACCATGATTACCCAGAAGGAGCTGGTGTTGTTATCTGTGCACACAGAACTACTTGTCAGCGTGCAGAAACTTCTTTCGCTAGTTCCTGACAATACGGTTCCCCCTCTAGGCTCTCCCGCATTACAATTTGCACTACTAAGCTCCCTATTCTTCTGCTATTTTCTGTCTTGTAGCCTCTTTGGCATAGTTAAGCAAAATTCTTGTCATTTCATCCCGTAGGATCGTGGTGACTCTCAATTCCAGTCACCATCTTGAGATACCGCAAGTCCAGAGGAAAGCAACGTACAATTTGGTAGAAAGGAGTTTATGAGGCTACTGAAATTCTGGAGTGAGGGGTGACCGCTTTTCCAGGATAAGTTCCCACTGACCCTCATTGTGCTTGACCTGCTTCGCCACAGGGTATAGCCTCATGTCTTGTTAATTGTATTAGTTTGTGGTGGACTAGTATCAGATCTCTTCCCTTTTCCATTTTTCTCCTAACGTATCAGGGCTTTGGTTGTTGGTCTGAGCTACCTCTGAGGGATTTGTTCAAATTCATTAGTCTTTTAGTGACTGTGAACCATTGGTGTCAATAATGATGTTAGTCGTGCTTGTAGTTAACGTACCCCTCGCTGTTTTCTCCAGATTTTCCCTTCTACTTCTTTTCAGTGAATTTAATTTTTACATTTGAGATCATTGTACCACTTGTGCGAGGTTTGCAGCCTTAGTTTGTGGTGGTATATCGTACATATGTCACAAGCTTGCGTTTTGTCTTGCTCTTCCAAAGTGTCTGCCAATGTGCGACACGATGTCTCTAGGGCAATGCAGTTTCACATGGATTGATCTGGTCTTTGAAAATGTATTCTCGCTGGACCACTAAGGAGTCAGCTGTAACATCCTTTCGGTGCCTAGCTGTTATGCCACGAGAAGGAAGCACGAGGGCTAGGATACTCGTCATCATCATTGTCACCTGTAAGAACCGCGTACTCGTCGTACACTGGTTGTAGCTGCCGCAGTTTCGTTCACCGATGATTGGGGGGGGGTGGTAGGTAGCTGCGCATTGCACTTACGGGCTGGTAAATTGGTGCATAAATCCAGCACTGTCAGTGGGCTGTCAAGTGGGGGGTTGGTTGGAAAAGGAGCTATGCATTGAAGGTAATAGCTTTGATGCACGAGCGCCATTGAGGGCGCGACTGGGCCATGTCTGATAGTGTCTCTAGCCATTGATGTGGCCCGTCTCGGGGTCCCCATCCAGGAAGACGGCAGTGACTAGCGCAGCTGAGTTTGTTGGTAATTGCTTTCACACTTCGCTGCCAAGTCATTGTTTGACCGCCTCTGGCTCTCTTCCACCCTTCACATGGTTGGGCGAAAAGAGCCCTTCGAGGAATTCGGTCAACTGGCATACGCAGCACGTGGCCAAGCCAGCGCAACCTGTGCAGTGTGATCAGTTCATCTATCTAGGGTGAGTTATTTCTCCCGAATACAATTCGACGTACTTCAGCATTGCTGATCCGGTGTTCCCACCAGATTCGGGCAATGCTCCGAAGACATCGATGGTCAAACACTGAAAGTCTTTTGACGTCCTCGGCGCGCAGCGGCCAGGTTTCTGATCCATATAGTAATATGGAGCGCACCGCAGCATTGTAAACCCGACCCTTGACAGAGAAACTGATGTCACGCCTACGCCACAGGTGACGTAGGTTCGCAAAAGCTGCTCTAGCCTTCCCAATCCGGACGGAAATATCATCTTTCGCGAGACCACCGGGACTGATACAGCTGCCCAGGT